CACACAATCCCCATTTGTAACCCTCCCTTCTGGCTTCCCACATACAAAGTCAATGGGGAAGATAGGAGGGAAGGTCATAAGTTAGCTCTGTAAATTGCTTTCCCTTCCATTGCTTTTTCTCCCAAGAAGCCCAACTCTCTGTTTCTTCAACTGGTAAGAAGTAACAATAGGAGCAGTTTTAAAATGGTTTAGTTTCCATTGGAAGACCATCCAGCCTTCCTGGATCTGGAGACATCTAGTTTTTTCATACCATTGTTTTTATTTATAAAACTATAGACAAAGCAAGACCAGGGAGTAACCACCATGCATTCCTAGTAATTAGTAGGTATCCTGCCCACTTCATATCCCTAAAAACAGGAATAGCTTTTCAGCCAACTCTCCTCTTTCCATATACATCTTTTTGTTGCTGTTGTTCAGGGATTTCCAAACAGCTGCTTTTTAAACACTAGCTTTGATCTCCTCTCCTTCTTGCCTGCAATTCCCTAGATCCCTACTCCAACCAACCTGCTCCAGGAAGGGGAATTTTACTTTGCTGAGACTTGCTGTTCGGGGAAGATGTTCCCTGGCTCCTGTCCATAGTGCTGAGCCAACTTTCAAATACATATAATTTAGTCTTAGCTATATAGAAAGAGAAAACCATTCTCCCCACTTGGAAGATTTACTGGGGGAAGCAGCACCTGCTGGTTTTTTCTACTACTGGTAGTCCTCAATTACAACAGTTCATTTAGTGACCATTCAAAGTTACAACAGCACTGAAAAATGTGACTTAGGACCGTTTTTCACACTTATGACCTTTGCAGCATCCTCATGATCATGTGATCAAAATTCAAATGCTTGACAACTGACTCACATGGTTGCACAGTCTGTCCCAGGGTCATGTGATCACTTTTTGTGACCATCTAACAAGCAAAGTCAATGGAGAAGCCAGACTCACTTAACAACCAGATTACTAACTTATCAATTGCAGTGATTCACTTAACTGAGGCAAGAAAGTTCATAAAATGGGGCAAAATTCACTTTAAAAATATCTTACTTAACAACAGAAATTTTGGGCTCAATTGTGATCGTAAGTCAAGAACTACCTGTACTGGTTTTTCATCCCATTAAACAATGTTCTCATCTTAAGAAACTTACAACCTATCCTTACAAACATTTATCTAACCATTCTGCCAAATTCATAGAAAATAGCTCTTGATTAAATACATAAAGAACTGCAACCAAATCTATTTATATATCTACAAATAAATACTGTCAAAAGGAATACTGTCATTGAAAACCACATTGGGTTGGAGTAGGATTTATTCTTAATACTGAGCAGATTTGAACCCGATTAGCACTTAGATAGAAGATCACAGGAGAATTCTGTGGATTAGACTAAAAAGTCACAAAAAGATCCTGGAAGAAGGCAAACCAGTTTAACTTGGTTACCACAAGCTGAGTTTTGACTCACATGCATAAGGTGGATCAATGAGATGAACAATGTTTCCAAGCAAAATGTCACAGAATTTCAGAAAATTTTTAGAATGTCTTAATTCCATTGGAACCCCATGTTTTCCAGTCATCTCTTCCATCTTTCCAAAAGCTGTGTTGAAAAGAAAAGTAGCAAAGCAGCAGAATGCCTTCAAATGACAGTGTAAGAAACCAGACCAATTAAAGCTCATTATATCCACAAGTCTTGGAAATCAGTACATGATTTGGAAATCTGATAGCATCAACAACCTAAATAAAAGTAGTGTTTGCTAAGCACAAGGTGACACATGTTTATCAAATCTGTAGGGCTTTTAAGAGTATTCCATTGAGGCCATTCATTTTTTTTTCTTTCTTCTCTGTACATTTTCTCGCTGTTTGTTTAAGAACAAACTGGTCCAGAATAATATCTTACCTAGCCTAAAGTTGTTCCTGGGTTTGGCTCTGGAAACTTGCCAATCGGTGTTCTACAAGTATTGGCCATTCTTTTGCTTTGTTGACCCATATCTGTCAGCGGTAAGTGCATATCAGCGGTAAGTGCAAGGATAATTAAAGGAGCTTATTAAAGAGGTGTTTGCCAAGATTACAGCTTTTGGATTTAAAAAGTAATTTCTATTCCTCTGAGATTTCCAGATAAGCCCTTCCTAGATTCAGAGCAAATGCTGTGCCCTTTCCTTATCTCTTCCTCAGTACAATTTCATGATATTGAAATATGTTATAATGCAAATTATGAGCACCAGCGTAATATGGGCCAATTTTCCTCTAGCCAAATACATTCTAGGTACCTATAATTCATTTAAATTCTAGATAGTATCACTTTTTTGTAACTTTAAAAGTTATTACACTTAATATAACTTTAGTGTCTACATTATAATTTAATATAGGCTACATCCTGGGCCTGACTCATAAATGTTAGTTACGGTAGGTTGTTTTAAAAATGTATTTTAACTTTGTCTTAAACTTTATTTTGTTCATTATCTATTAAGATATGGATATAAATGTAGTTATATTCACAGAGCCTATACTGCTCTATCACGATAATAAACTGAAATTATAATTGAAACATCAGTATAAAACAATGGGAAAACTGTGTAAATGTTTAGAATTCTTGGGAGTAATAAAAACATCACCAAAGAAATCCACATCTGACATTAAAATAACATTTTAATGTTTGTAAACCATCAGGGAACAGGTTTGTGGAACAATCTGTCACTGTCCACAAGGTGGCCATCCACAAACACAACTGCCAAAGATAAATCAGATTTCCAAAAACTTAAAACTCAAATTTCCTACAGGCTTCAGTAGCACTTAATCCCAGAAGACAGAGTAGTGAGATGCCATCACTAATGACACAAGCATGAATTTACAAAAATGCATATATTCCATGCGGTGAACTGTTGTGTCTTTAACATTATATCCGTCTTATTAGCCTGCAAGGTTTTACACGCCTCTTGGTTACCGTTGTTGCAACAGGCTAACACATCTACTCTTTTTATAAATTATTCTTCAATATGTGAGAACAATCAACCAATGGAACAGAAGTTGCCTTCGGAAGTTGTGGGAGCTTCATCACTTGAGACTTTCAAGAAAAGATTAGACCGCCATTTGTCAGAAATGGTATAGGGCCGTGATGGCGAACCTATAGCACGCCATTGCCAGCTGGTCTTCTGGTTTCTGATGCGCCAGCCAGCTGGTCTTCGTGGGTGCCGGAGCGCCAGAAAATGGCCTGAAAACAGCCAAAAATCAGGCCATTTTTCGGGCTGTTCTCCAGGCCATTTTCAGGCCGATTTTGGGTCGTTTTTGGGCCATTTTCAGGCTGTTTTTGGGGGCTGTTTTTGGCCCAAAAAACAGCCCAAAACGGCCAAAATACAGGCACACATGGGCCGGCTAGCTGGTCTTCGGGTTTCCAGCGCTCCACACACACACACATGCACGCATGTTCCAGTTTGGGCACTCAGTGCAAAAAGGTTCGCCATCCCTGGTATAGGGTCTCCTGCTTGAGCGAGGGGTTGGACTAGATGACCTATAAGGACCCTTCCAACTCTGTTAATCTATTAACCTGTTAAAAAAAAATATACCACTGCAATGTTAAAAACAATTCACAGGAGCAGCTCATGGCTGGGAGAATTAGTTAACCAAAAGATCTCAGAAAGGCTGTAATTCATCATTACAGTTTCTGCTGGTTTCAAAATGCCCAATTACAACCCCCACCGACCCACCCCTATTAAGAAAGTTTGGGACTTGTAGCCATCTTAAACGTTCAGAGGGAAGAATGGTTTTGTTTTATTCTTTTCAATTCATACGAAATAAAACTGGTCTGGACTGCGTAAATCCGGATGAGCAACTAATGGCAGATTTCCCTCTGCTGCCATCCTGGGCTGATCTGGAGTTTTGTAGCCTGGACGGCACAGCCGTAGTGGTAGTCCTCAAATTACAAAGGTTCATTAGGTGACCATTCAAAGTTACATCACTGAAAAAAATGACTTTTGACCGTTTTTCACATGTGTACCACTGCATCATCCCCATGGTCACATGATCAAAATTCAGATGCTTTTCCAATGAGTCATATTTATGACCGTTGCAGTGTCCAAAGATCACGTGGTCCCATTTTGCAACCTTCTGACAAGAAAAGTCAATGGGGAAACCAGTTTCATTTAACAACTGTGTTACTAATTTTAGTGCAGTGATTCACTTAACAAATGTGGCAAGAAAAGTCATAAAATGGGGCAAGAGTCACCTAACAAATGTTTCACTTAGCAACAGAACCGTTGGGCTCAATTGTGGCCATTAAGTCGAGCATTTAAAATATTCAGATTGCAGGCCCGAAATCTTCGAAGGCTGCAGCTCTTCTTGCCACAGAAAGCTAAAAAGGCGTCCCAGCTACAGCTCTCATGTACAGGCAGTTCCCAATTTACAACCCCAATTTGAGTCCAAAATTCCTGCGGTCAAGACATATGTTCAGTGAATTTTGCCCCATTTTACGACTTTTCTTGCCACAGTTGTTAAATGAATCACCTCAGTTGATAAGTTAGTAACCCGGTTGTTTAAGTATATCTGGCTTCCCCGTTGACTTTTCCTTGTGAGAAGGTCGCAAAAAGGGATCACGTGACCTTGTTGGGACACAGCAGCAGTCATAAATGTGAACCAGTTGCCAAAGCATCTCAATTTTGATCATATGACCCTGGGGATGCTGCAATGGTCGTTGAAAGCGTGAAAGACGGTCCTAAGTCACTTTTTTCAGCGCTGTTGTAACTTTGAATGGTCACTAAACGAACTGTTGTTAAGTCGAGGACTACCTGTAGCTACCTGCCCTGCTTCCTGGTGCCAGACTAAATAAGCCATCTGATCTAGGCAACCTCAAGTGCCTCACCCCACCCCACCCACTCTGCTCGCGGGGGGGGGGGGGGGGTGTCTCCCACATAGCCGACGGAGGAGGAGGAGGAGGGGAGGAGGAGGAGGAGGAGGCAGCAACTACTACGGTAACTGGAACACCTGCTGCTGCTCACGGCCCCACCGCTTTGGAAGGTGGGGCTGGAGAGAGCGGCTGAGGTGACGCCACCTCGAGTGCTCGAACCTGCGCGAGGTTCTAGTCGGCGTCCGGGAGCTGCAGCGGGAGCGGCGCGCGCGGGTTCTGAGCATTTTCCGTGATTGGAGCAGGTAGGAAATCTCAGCTGTGATTAACTCGGCTTCTCCGAGAGAAAGTCGGTGATTTTTCGTCCGGCGGGGAATTAAGAGCTTGAGCGTACCAATGGGATCTCGTGACGCATGCGCTTTGTGAATACTGGGGGGGGCGGTTTGGCGTACTAGCATTATTGGCTGCATTCATACAACATTTTTTAATGTTGTACGATGGGTGTAACGTGGGTATGGTAAATACCTGCAAATGTTTGCCCGGTGGTGCATTGTTTTTTTTTTTTTTTCCGAAACCTCTCGGCCTGGACAAACTCATGAGCGTTTGGTTTAGGCTATGATTATTCTTTTTTTAAAAAGCTAATATCCGGCCAAATCTGTTAGTTAATCGAGACTCAGCACGGCTTGCAAATTATAAAAAAAAAAATCATCTAATGCAAAGAAAGTAAATCGCTAACGGGAGATTAAGATTAGGACACATTAGTAACACTTTTCCTAACCTAACCTGGTCTCCGAGCCCCGTTCAAAAGGACGGCGGCGATTAAAATGTCCAGAGAGGATATATAAAATCCCAAATGCAGGCGACGGGACCGAGAAGGCGAACCGTCTGGGTCCCGTCTGATTCTGATGGCTCTGTCTTAGCAACGGGACCTCGGAGTGTAACAATGGGATGATGCGCGGAGTGTAACAATGGGACAAAAGCGGTCATCCCTCAGCTAGCCAGCCTCCCCTTGGGTCAGTATACTTGCAGGAAGCGGGAGGAATCGTTGAGTCCGAACTTGGTCCCTGAGCCGCAAAAGGGAATTGAGGTATATATCGTGGCAGCGGAACCAGCCAGGAGCCGCAATTCGTTGGGATCCTTAAAAATGCTCACTTGACTTTCTCGAGCCCCGATGAAAAGGCATCGTTTGTCTGTTTAAAGCGAGGATTCTCTTAGGGTCCTTGCAGCGAAAATATTTGTAATTCCCCCCCCCCAAAAAATCCCCACCTTGGAGTAGGGAGCGGGAGGGAGGGATGTTTAAAAGCTCAGACGAAAAATACAAAAACACTTTGAAGCAGGGACTGTCCTGGCGACATTGGGCCCGAGTTACTTCCTCCTTCTTTTTCTTTTCTCTGGCCACACTGCGGGAAGTTCAGAATAACCTTTTCACAACCTTTTCCGTTGCGTTGGACATAGGTACGGTTAAGAAGAGACTGGACAGTCACTGGTCTGAAATGGTATATAGCAGGGGTGAAATCCAGCAGGTTCTGACAGGTTCTGGAGAACCGGTAGCGGAAATTTTGAGCAGTTTGGAGAACCGGTAGAGGAAATTTTGAGTAGTTCGGAAAACCAGCAAATACCACCTCTGGCTGACCCCAGAGTGGGGTGGGAGTAGAGATTTTACAATATCCTTCCCCCGGGAGTGGGGAGGAAATGGGGATTTTGCAGTATCCTTCCCTTGGAGTGGGGTGGGAATGGAGATTTTGCAGTATCCTTCCCCTGCCACGCCTACCAAGCCACGCCATGCCCACAGAACCGGTAGTAAAAGAAATTGGATTTCACCACTGGTATATAGGATCTCCTGCTTGATCAGGGGGCTGGACTAGAAGACCTCCAAGGTCCCTTCCAGCTCTATTCTGATCTAAATAACCAAGAACATTTCTCAGAGTGTTAAACTCTTAATTGCCATTATTCTGGTCGCTGGAAGTTTTGAAAGGGTGATGGAAGATGGGATCAGCAGTAGTGTTTCTCTACCTTCCTAGCTTGAAGATGTGTGGACTTCAACTCCCAGAATCCCCTTGTCAGCATTGCTGGCAGGGAAATTCTAGGAGTTGAAGTCCATACACCTTCCAGCTACTAGTTGAGAAACACTGATAGAGGCTCACTTCTAAAATGAACAATGAGGATTACAGCTTGTGGTTTTTTTCTCATAATTCTGGGAGGGGCAAACTAAATAAAATAGGAAATTATTAGAAGCTTCCTAAATAGAACATTGTGGAAGAAGATTTTACTAATTTAAATCTTTGAACGCCATTGCTTCACAGAACAGTAGAAAAGCTCTTACAATAATATAAAATTGGGTCCCTACAATCTTAAACTGAGGTTGCTCTTCAAGGATATATAAAAAAAAAATAGAGTTTCTGGCTTGGTAGTCCTTTATTTAGATCAATGGTTCTCAACCTGTGGGTCGCGACCCCTTTGGGGGTCGAATGACCCTTTCACAGGGGTCACTTAAGTCCATCAGAAAACACATATTTTCAATGGTTTTAGGAATAATTTTATGGTTGGGGGTCACCACAACATGAGGAACTGTATTAAAGGGTCGCGGCATTAGGAAGGTTGAGAACCACTGATTTAGATGATGATGATGATGATGATGATGATGATGATGATGATGATGATGATGATGATGATTACATTCTGTTCCATTCATTTTGTACAGTTCTATTTGTTAATCAGGTTAGTATAATAAAATTCACAAAAATGTGAATGTGCATTTTTAGAAAAAGATGGAAGAGTGATATATAACCAAGAAGGAGGTGACATCCTGTTGGGATCTAATGCTTCAGCTGAAGTTTAACTAATGAGAAATAAAATACATATGGCTAGTCCTCTACTTACAACCACAGTTGCTCCCAAACTTTTTGATGCTAAGCAATGCATTTGTTAAATGAGTTTTGTCCCAGTTTATGAACTTTTTTGCCACAGTTGTTAAGCCAATCACTGCAGTTATTAAGTGAATCATGGGGTCATTAAGCGAATCTGGCTACTCCCATTGACTTTGCTTGACAGAAGCAGGCTGGGAAGAATACAAATAGTGATCACACGACACCAGAACAGTGCAACTGTCATAAATAAATGCCAGTTGCCAAGCACCTGAATTTTGATCACATGCTGCAACAAGTGTGAAAACTAATCATGCGTCAATTTTTCAGTGCCTTTGTCATTTCAAACAGTCCCTAAATGAATGGTTGTAAATTGAGGATTACCTGTATATTGACTATGATGTACAGAAGTACTTCTAAATGTTTGATTGGGGATGCAACACATCACTTAGGTGTTAAAAACAAATGCAACAAATTTATGAGTGATTGCTTTTGTGGTTTCCAAACTAGCTAGTTTGGAACTTTGTACTTTATGCAAAGATATTATCCTCAGTTCTTAAAAGGCACAACAGCACATTTCTTTTGTATCCCAACATGGTTAAGAGGCTGCTATTCACCATCCAAGAAAAAAAGTGTAAGCTGGAGCCATTATCAAGCTGAAAAAAATCATTCCTTAACAATGATCCTCCTATGAAATGTAGCCCCTGCAGTCAAGCAGAGTGAAACAACTCTTAAGAGTTGTTAAGGGATGTCTGAAAAGACCGCAAATTGTTAGTTACTTAATAGGCTGTTGTGTGTTTTACAGCCAGACAGTGGGAGGAATGCTTGTGGAATCTTCTGCCTCGGGTGCCAAAATAACATCACCACAGCCTTGGGTGCTGTGTCTCCACAATCTGTCTGTACATGCACATGTCATGTCCACCCCAGGGAGCAAACATTCTAGAACTGGCCTGTTAGGAGATCAGATTAGATTTCTAGGAGCTAATTCATCACATCAAAAGTGATCGGAGGAGCCTGTTGTTGTTTTTCTTGCCATTAGGGTCTTTAGCCAGGTTAAATTTTATTTATTTATTCATTTATCAAGTTTAGATAGCTGCCCCTCACATAATGACACAGTGACTCTGGGCAGGTACAACAAAGCTAATAATGTATAGAAAACTGTTGTTGTTGTTGTTGTTGTTGTTATCTCTTTTATTCATTAAACATGAAACTCAGACAACTGAGATAATAATAATTATTATCTAGGATGTGGATTATAATTATTATAGGATTATTATTTATTACCTTAGGATGCTGGCAGCAACCTGTATCAACCATCAGCATCAGTCAATGGTATTTGTGATGCATTTTTGAATGTTCTGAGTTTCATATGTTGACTGAGTTTCATATTTAATGAATAAAGTAAATCTAAATTTACCAGACTTGAACATTTTGACTCTACAAAAAACCACCTTACTCAGAACAATTTACATCCTCCGACGATAACTTAACAGTTCCTAGGTCCTTGATTAGGACTCGAGCTGCTGAGCTATTAACCAGCCTCAAAGGCTGTGAATCTCACTAAAGATTAACCAATAAATAATAATAATAATAATAATAATAATAATAATAATAATAATAATAATAATAATAATAATAATAAATAACAATGCGCAAGATATCACGGTTATCGAGGGCTGAAGCGTACAGTTTATTGATATCGCTGTACCAGGAGACGTCAGAGTTGAAGAAAAAGAACTGGAAAAAATCACAAAATATCACAACCTGGCCATCGAAACTACACGGCTATGGATGAAACATGTAACAGTGATACCCATTGTCATCGGGGCACTTGGTACCATGTCCAAGAATTTTACAAAATACATCAAGAAATTGCAGTTTCCTGCAATAACACCAGCGGAACATCAAAACACTGCACTACTCGGAACATCCTATATTTTAAGAAGATACTTGGTTGATACCTAGGACGCTGGCAGCAACCCGTATCAACGATTAGCACCATTTTTAAATGTTCAGTTGACTGAGTTTCATGTTTAATGAATAAAATTTTATAATAATAATAATAAATGTTTATTATTATTACAGTTGTTATTGTTATTTTAAAATGTTAAAACTATAAAAAAGCACAAAGCTAAAAGAGAAAAAATATATATTTGGTGAAGAGCAGATGTTAATAACAATGTAGCCACCTGAATATCTCACCATGCTCTTAGAGAACAATGATACAATATAGATATAGATATATTTCCCTTCTTTTTTATTTTTTAAACGAATATTGGAATTCTCCAACAGGGCTATGAGTTCTTTAAATGAATATGGTTCCAATTCCTGGGCGCTCACAATCACAGTTGATCATCACAATGGAGAAGAACAAAAAGAGATTCCCCTTCAAGTATCGGGGGAACTTCATGTCGGAGGGTTGATGCTAAAACTTGTGGAACAAATTGGTGAGTATAGTGTTTTTAAAGGACAAAAGAATTCAGGCAACCTGAAGCAATCCCAAAATGAATAGTTTTATATACTTTATTCATTTTGGGGTTGGGTGTGTGAACTCATGTCCCTGATAGCAGATAGCAAAAATTCTGCTTTTCCAATTCATTCATTCATTATTTATTTATTGTTCACATTTTTGAACCACTCACCTCCCTCAGAGGGGAAGGGAGATACTGGGCAGACATCATGAGCTACTGACACTGGACTTCTAGTGAGGAACCCTTCTAAGAAAATCTGAAAGCTCTGCAGGTTTCTGCATGACACATCACTTACACAGCTGCCCATTTGCTGCACACTTGTTTCATGCTGTTATGTCTGCCACCATACCAGAAACATATTTTGGGAACAACCCAGACAGCATATGTTGGAGTGTTGGGGAGGCCATAACAAGCAGGGACTGATTTACAAGACCAGTATCACATATTAAGTCAGATTTTAGTATTTATATATAGCAGGCAATGAATTAATGCCATCGGTAGGTAGAATGAAAAGCAAGGATAGAAATTATTGTTTGCATATTTTATATTGTTATATTCTATTTATTTGGAATATGTTATAAAATAATAAAACACAAGAAAGAAATGGCAAATGTTAAGCCAAGGATGATTATGTCATCAAGTCAATGTTGACTCTTAACAACCACATTTTCTCAAAGATGCTCTGTCCCCAACCTTCAATCTTCCAGTCTTTGAACTATACCCATCACCACTGTGGGTGGTGATGGGCTTATAGGTTGAGCTTATAGTTAAGCTCAAGAGGTACCCCAAAGTCACCTAATCCATCAGATGAAGTCAGTAAATTATAGAGATGGCTCTAGAATTTGCTAGATTTGGTTTAGAACTCCAAGGTAGGCATAAGTATATTCTTCGCTCACTTTTCCCAATAACCACCCATGAGGTAAATTGAGCTGAGAGAAAGTGACTGGCCCAAGGGAACACTAGATACAGAAAATGAGTTCTGTCTTTCAGCCTATTGCTTTCTCTGACTTTTTTAAGGCTAGATAGTTTACAAATGGTTCTAATGGGGTACGTGTCAGGTATAATCAGTTCCTCAGCTTGGTGGCATTTGTGGTATCCTTTTCAAAGTTCCTGCTTTGCTTTGTTTTCTTTTTTTTTTTTTTTAGGGATATCCCAAGATTGGTCAGACTATGCCCTTTGGTGGGAGCAAAAGAAATACTGGCTTCTGAAAACTCATTGGACTCTAGATAAATATGGAGTGCAAGCAGATGCCATACTCTTGTTTACCCCTCAGCACAAAAATCTGCGCCTTCGTTTACCAAGCATGAAGATTGTGAGACTGTACGTTAGCTTCTCTTCTGTGGTATTCAGGGTTGTTGGGGACATCTGCAAGAGCCTTGGTAAGTGGCATTCACATATGCTTCCCTGATGTGCTTCTGGCAGATGTTGTAAGTGATGTCCACATGACTGTCTTGGGAATCTTCCACTTTATATCTGAATTCTCATGGAGCACTGTTTCCAACAGTAACATGCATAACAGGATGATTTGATGAACGCTGTCCATTTATACAGATGAATTTTTCAATGAACTAATAAGAATATTAGTAATAAGGTTAGTCAGCTTCTTTGTTACTTTCATAATTATTCCCTAATATTTCTCTAAGTATGAGGGCCAGTTTGTTGTAATGGTTAAGGCACCAGGCTAGAAACTGGGAGACTGTAAATTCTAGTCCCGAAGCTAGCTGGATGACCTTGGGCCAGTCCCTCTCTCTCAGTCCTAGGAAGGAGGCAATAGCAAACCATTTCTGAAAACCTTGCCAAAAAACCCTGCAAAATCTTGTCCAGGTAACTGCCAGGAGTCAACACTGACTTGAAGACACCAAAAAAATATATATTTAAGTTAATCCAAAATTAATTTCTTCATATTCAGAGTGATGGGTAACACCATCCATCATGTTCATCCATTCCAAACTTATCAATCACATCCCTTTCAGATGCAGCCTGCAGAACAGCAGCCCAGATGAGATATGGAGACATAACGCTTCTCTCTCTTTGGAACATCTGCCTTCTAGTTTATGAAAGAATAGATTTTGTTCAATAATTGCAATCTATTGAACATTTTCTCATATAACATTGATTCACTTATTTGGAGAAGAGCATTTCTTTTTCCATTACTATGCTTTTATAGCAGGTCCAAGATATAAGTTATTGCCTGCTTGATGTGAAGATGAAGGTTCCCATCTGCTTCTACCTATACAAGCCAAACAAGCTGTGATTAAATTTTGCTTCTGGTATCTTCCCACACTGAGCGGCCGGATGCCAAGTACCAAGCCATGCAAATTATAGTTGGTGGCTAGGGCATTTCCATACCATGAGCATATGGACACAGCTTCTCTGCTTCTTTTAAGCCTTTTATCTATGAAATTCTCTCCTGGAATTCTAAGACAATGTAACCAGATCCTCACATCTGAAAGTTAACCAGGTTGAGGAAAGCACAATTGCTGTGTATTACCTGTTCAAGATCCTAAAGTTTGCATATTTTGATTTATAATTCTAAAGCCCATTGAAAGTAAAGGGGAAATGAGAGCACAATGGAGGCTGTGCAAGGCAGTAGTTTGATTTTTAAAGGCAGTTTAGCTCAGCCCTTCAGGTCCATTGACAGCCTGGGGGATTATTGTAATCGTTTTATTGTGATTTTTTTTTTTAAAAAAAAGGTTTCGTTTCAGCAGATTTGAGAGAAATACCATTTAATTCTGCATTCTGTCAAATATAAAGAAAATGGGATCTTGGCTGAATAAGACCAATGCCAAATAAAGTTTGTTCATTACAAGTGTAATGACCAATGAAAAAAAGTATTTGGAGCTTATTTTACCCAAAGCAAATCACTCAGTTTATTCTGAGATTTCTGCATAGTTGCCCATTACTGCTTATTGTTTTCACCCATTCAAGAGGAACATCAATTACATGATTTAAAAAAGCAGAACAAGATGTGTCTACACATATCTCAGGATGAAGGGGAGGCAGGATAGGACTTGCAGTGCAAAGAGCCATTCCTACTATATATGAGACACTTATCAGTTAGAGGAATCATCATTCAGGAGGGGAAGTAATACAAGACCTTTGATCAGGAAAACATCCATCTGGACATCTAGATTGCCTGAGGCCTTATTCTGCATGCTTCAAAGTCCCCCAAATCACATGGTATTATTCAATGGCAAAGCACCAAAACAGCCACAACTCCCTGTCCATGTTCGGTGGAAATCTTAAAAAACCCTAAAATATGTTTAAAAATCCTGAAGATGAATAATTGTGCAAGGTCAGGCTGCTAATGTCTAATGGGACATCAGATAGTCCCTGTGTAGTCTTTGGTTCCTGTAATGTAACAGCAGCATTTATTTTGTTTCTGCTTTCAAGTGCAATTAGTCATCTAAATTTAGAATGAAAGGGACAGAAAGTACCCAATAGATCAGGGGTGTCATTACGTGATGTATCATGACTTTTTTCCCCTTCGCTAAAACGGGGGTGGGCGTGGCCAGCAGGTGACATATCCGGCCAGCGGCCCATGAGTTTTACACCCCTGATATAGATCATCTAGTTAGGGATCCCCAAACACTTCACCACGTCAACCCCTTCATGAAGTTTCAGATTATTCACCAACCCCCCAAGACCCCTTTATTAAAAAAATGAATAAATACTACTTTAACTAATAATAATAATAATAAATAATAACAACAATAGCAGCAGCAGCAACAATGGACCTTTAAGGACCAATGCTGACCCTGAGAACTCTGATCTAGTTCTAGACCTTGCCAAGCAAGGAATCCTGGACTGAGATAAGGTTCCATCTCCACACTCTGTAATCTTGTTCCCCTCCTTCCCATTTTCCTATTAATATTTATTGTTTTGATATTTTAATATTTCATCTTGTTTTTACTCAGTCGTAAGCCTCCTAGAGTCAACGCTTGGTGAGAAGGGCAGCATACAAATGTAATAAATAAATAAAATCCGCAATTGCGGCATTCCGGATAGATAGACCATCAGCATCAAACATCTTCAGCAAAAGAAAATTCCACAATCTTCCTTGTGTATTTGATATTAGGTGAATTTTTTAAACTCATGAACTCTGTTTGGTTCATCTTGATAAATAAAACAGATAAAAATAAGTTATAGTCCTATGCATAGATCTATTTTTATTTACAGCTCTGTGTTAAAGAGCAGAAAAGTTCTAAAATAAATGCAGTGGACTTATCACACTACTTTCATACTGATTTCCAGATTCGGAGGTCCTTGAACTCAATAGTTTGTTGAGTATTGCTGTTTTAAAGCTATGAAGTTGTGCACAAGCATAAGTTCAATTTGTTATTGTTCACCTCTCCGGTAATATGCTACATTTTCTGCAGATGGAATGTATCACCTCAAGCCATGTTAACAGCTGTGCAATTCGCAATATAAATTCCTAGCACATGTCTGTATACACACCACAATTACAATGATTAAAGCCTCAGGTATTGCTCAACCAGGAATTTATCTCTAAAAATTCCTCACCACAAATAAGACTTGTACCAGCCTGCAGGAAAGGGTTGTAGGTGTACGTAGATGAGTAGATATGGGTATATGACTGTAGTGACAGAATAAAATATTATAGAAAATAAATGCACTAGAAGTCTCCCATAGTACAGGTGCTAGTCACTGATGATTGCTAACTCAGAGAAAATCAAGCACTCTCTCTCATAGATATAAGATCATGTTTTTTCTTCACACATGCAACTATAACTGCAAATAACACCACAGTGAATAGTATTATTCCTTAACAGGAAATGGCCTGCTAAGAGTCATTCAGCTATCACCCTTTTAGATGAAAATGTGGGTGAGGTAGATAAAGTTAGGGATCTGTATAGAACGGAAGAATGATTTTGATTATATTTCTTTGTGAATTGACTAGAAGAATGGAATATTGCTGAGTTTTCACAAGCACACAGGTGGTGATGATGTGATTGAATGAATTCTTCTGGCTTTTTCATAACCCAAGGACATTGTTTGCTGGAGATTTAGCAGAATAGAATTGCCTTTTTTTTCTAGACAGAAAGAATAGGAATTATGGGGCAACAGAACTAGAAGTTCCCAGCCTAGAGAAGACCACACCAGAGAGACAGATGGATAACTGAGTAGATGTTTCACTGGCTGGAGTGAGAAGATACACCAAAAAGGATCTGCATAATAGTTTTTTACAGTGAAGTTCCACCTTGCCAGCATGGCTCTCAAGAGATCTCATAATTGCTTACTACCTATGAAGTCAGATGATAACCATTAAAAACTTCCTTAAAGCATAAATAGTACAGTTAACACGAAAAAGCAGCTGCAATTGCCTTCCCATTTAAAACTTCTCCAACTCCCCAAAAGTCTGCTATATCCCTTTGCTATCTGAAATCTGGAGGAATCTGAGTTCAAATTACAGTGGAAAAGAAATACGATGAACTAGAGCTTCATACCATGGCCGTTTGTACCCTAAAGTAGCTCTCCCCAACTTGGTACATCTTCCAGACAGATTGGCCTTCAAGTCCCTGGATCTTGAGACAGTCAATCTCTAAACTATAGATAATGCTACTTCTGTCTATCTTAGCATGAAAGATGGTTTAAGTGAAGGTTGTAGAGGCAAGCATCTGTTTTACCTACTAATTTCTTGTAGATTATCCTGAAGCTGATAGCAACATATGTTTAATTAGTGGTTATTTACTAAAGTATTGTAAAAGTAAAATATCTTTTGAGTTGAGTGCAAATTTGACCTTTATGGGCACTTTTTTTGATAACTATACTTAAGCGATTGATCCCTGCCTTTTTTATGATGTTTTTTGTAAAACAGCCTGTTGTTTCTCCAGTTTCCCATTCAAGTGTGCCCAATTCCTCTTAGCTTATTGAAATCATCCCCGGGTCAGCTAATGCTTCTATCTTATCTAAATAAGAGTTTCAGGTCAGTTTTAGGTCACTAATGTACGGAGAGTGCTGTGTGGTGGAGATTAAGACTGGATCATCTCACATGTTCTTTCTGCTGCTTTTATCAGTTGGGCTAGCTAGGTGGAACAGTTTTCCTCTCAGAAGCCCTTGGAAGCAAATGCCTTGAAAGCAGAAGCAGCAGAGAACTACTCTGTTTGATGGGTGTGGAATATGCTTTTCCTCTAAACAATGACTGCAGTTAAAGAGTGAAAGGGGAACAGGTTTCTGGGAGTCCAAGACCAACAATGTCTAAGTTCATTAGAACTCTTTCAAGGAAGGTCACCTCTAGACTATTTGTTTGATTCTCGTCAAACCTGGTGTTTGAATTAGAACCGCCTGCTTCCATTGTAACTTATCATTAGATAAGTGGTTTAACAATTGGTTCCTGGTTGTCTTGCTTTTCCCTCCCTGTTCTTTCCTTCCCTCTTGCTGTAAAGTCTTACATTGATAGACCATAGGACAGAAGCTGTCTTTTATTCATTGTCTCCTTTCTCTCTGGAAAGTGGTGTTTAAACGTTTCACAGAATAAAGTTAAAGCAAAAGCAGGTGCATTTCCAGTAACCACTAGTGTTTTATCTGCCTACTCCATTATCCTGTTTCTGTGCCTTTTGTCCTAGCTGATTTTTTGAAACAAAATTCTTTAATGGAAAGGTAATATTCTTCTCTGTTCCATTTATTAAACATTAACCCCATAGCTGATTTCAAAAGTACCGAAATTCCTATGGTGGTGAAGGATGTTTGCCTAGTTCTGCTCTGCAAAATTATTATTATGGTTGGTCAACCAGCCACATGTTTAGACTGGTTTGGCATTTTTGCCCATCTAGCAAGTCCTTCTCAAGGACCTGGGAGAGGCAGATGTTGTTATTTAATAATATTAAAGATATTATTGCAGGATGTAAATGGTTCCAAGTAAATCTCATTTTTGCTATTGATTGATGATGATTTTGTCAATGCCAATGTTGGTGGTATTATTATTATTATTATTATTATTATTATATTATTATTATTATCTTTTATTCATTAAACATAAAACCCAGTCAACTGAATATTTAAAAATGTATCACAAATATCATTGACTGGCACTGATGGTTGCTACGGTTGCTGCCAGCCTCCTAGATATCAATCAAGTATCTTCTTAAAATGTACATTGTTCCGAGTAGCACGCTCTTTTACAGTTCCACTAGTGTTATAGCAGGAAGCTGAATTTCTTGATGCAATTTTTTTTGTAAAATTCTTGGACATGGTACCAAATGCCCCGATTGACAATGCATATCATTGTCACATGTTTCATCCAAAATCGCATAGTTTCAGTTTATATTATTATTATCTCTTTTATTCATTAAACATGAAACTCAGTCAACTGGACATTTAAAAATGTGTCACAAATATCATTGACTGGTGCTAATGGTTGATACGGGTTGCTGCCAGCGTTCTAGGTATCAACCAAGTATTTTCTTAAAATATAGGATGTTCCGAGTAGCGCTGTTGTTTGCAGTTCCGTGGTGTTATTGCAGGAAGCTGCAATTTCTTGATGTGTTTTGTAAAATTCTTGAACATGGTACCAAGTGCCCTGATGACAATGGGTATCACTGTTACATGTTTCATCCATAACCGTGTAATTTCGATGGCCAGATCGCGATATTTCGTGATTTTTTTCCAGTTCTTTTTCTTCGATTCTGGCATCTCCTGGTACAGCGCTATCAATAAACTGTACGCTTCAGCCCTCGACAACCATGATGTCTGGCATGTTGTGTGATCTGTCTGTATTCAAAAGTCCCACAAGATCTTCATCATCTCATTTTTGGTAACTTTTTCCACCTTATGCTCCCATGACTTTTCAGATACAGGTAGGGCATATTTTTTACATAATGACCAGCAGACTAATTTAGCAATTCAATCATGTCTAGCTTTGTAATCAGTTTGTGCAATTTTGCTGCACTCACATATTAAGTGTGAAACAGTTTCAACTTTGTTGTTGCAAAGTCGGCAATTTGGATTGTCAGTGGATTTTTGTATCTTTGCTTTCATGGCATTAGTTTGTAGTGCTTGTTCTTGAGCAGCGAGTATTAAACCTTCCGTTTCTTTCTTGATGGTTCCTCTCTTAAGCCATGGCCATGTCAAGTTGTTATCACACTTTCCTTCAATGTTTTTCAAGTGCTGTCCATGCAGAGCTTTGGTTTTCCATCCATTTAATCTGTCATCCAACTGTTTTTCCTTATATTCTGTCTTTGTTTCTGTTGTTTTTATAATGTTCTCCGTTTTCACAGCCTGCAGCAATCTTTCTGTGCTTTGGTTCACATAATCATTCAAACTTCGTTTTTCTTCTTCTACAGTTTGATGGATTTGCAATAGTCCTCTGCCCCCTATTCTTCTTGGCAGATACAACCTGTCGGTGTCACTTCGTGGATGTAAAGCATAGCACATATTCAAAGGTTTATGCATTTTCCGGGCCAGGTTTTCCAGTTCAGCCACAGTCCAGTTGATGATTCCAGCTGGGTAGCGTATCACTGGAATGGCTCATGTATAATGGCTTTAATCTTTCCAGCATTCAATTTTGATTTTAATATTTTGTGGACCCCTCCTGATATATTCCTTTCGCATTGACTCTTTGACTTTTCCATTCAATTGTTTATTATTATTATTATTATTATATTATTATTATTATTATTATTATTATTATTATTATTATTATTATTAATTTGTGTGCCATTTAAGGATTCTGGGTGGCTCACAAAATTAAAAGAAATTACAATAAAACACACACACACACACACAAAGAAAAATATGGCAGTATGATGAAGTGAGCAGTCTCAATCTCCCTCTGCAAAGGCCTAAGCAAAGAGCCCAGTCTTCACAGTTCTTCTAAACAACAGCAGAGAGGGGAAGCAACCAGATCTCAGGGAGAACCTTGTTCAGAGGGCAGGCACTGCTATAGAAAAGGCACGCTTCTGGGTTCCTAAGAGATGATGTCATTTAATCAAAGGAACCCAGAGTGGGCTAATCCTACAGGATAGAATTAGATGGGCAGATGTTATGGGGGATATGAGATCCCTCAAGTAAGCAGACCTATATCATGAAGGGCTTTATAGGTAATCAGCACTTTGAATTGCACCCAGAAGCAAATCCCCCACCCTCAACTAACATCAATAGGAACTGGCCCTGGAGACAGAAAGGAACGACCTTAAAATGGTTTTCCCAATCCACAACCCTTGGTGCCGACTCACAAGAATACCATAGGCAACTGTACTGAAAGCCATGGACAGATCAAGATGGATGCACCATCATGGCCATCCTGACACAATTGACTAAGGCTGCCTCAGTACTAAATCCTGATTTGAAACCCAACTGAAATTGGCCTTTATAATCTGTTTCCTTTAGGGTTCTCATCAGTTGCAGATCAACCACCTTTTCAACAAATTTTCCCAAAAAGGGAAGGTTGGAGACTGATGGTAGTTATCAAAAACCATTGGCTCCAAAGATGGCCTCTTGAGGAGACACATCACCATCTCTTTCAAAGCAAGATAAACTTCTTTCCTCAGAGAGACCAATAACCACGGTATGGGCCCAACTATGGGTCATCTTTTAACCTGTCCAGGAGGGCAAAATAACATGGTGTGTCAAATCGATGGACTCTCTTAGATTATAGAACCCACTGGTCTTTTCAGCCTGTTGATATTTTCAACTGTGTTGCAGGTATTAGACGATCAGAAGAACTGTCTCTGCTGAAGCCAACCAATGAGATAAAAAAGAAAAAGAGAAAAGACAAAGAGAAGGACAAAGAACCCGTCGTAGAAGATATTTTAAACCTGCACAATTCTCCAGTGAGTTTGGGATTGCCAGGTAACAGTGCAATAGACAATACTGATTTTATTTATTTATTGGCTGCCTTCTCTATACATTGAAGTTTGAAAAGTAGGAACAAAAGGCCATGTAACTAATAGGTTAAAGAAACCTTTGAGCTTGTTACTCTATAAGCTGGTTTTTAACATTGGCTATGCTGACTCAAAATGATAGGGATTATTGGGGACCTCTGGATTGGAAATCCTGCCACCAGGAAAGAAGAAGAAGTATTCAATTCAATTACACATTTTTAGGAATAAGAATTAAGTTTTGACAATGGCATGCAAGAATGCTTTTTGTAGACTAGGAAAGTGAAACAATTCTTCATCGGTTACAGCTTTTAAAAAAGACTTGGTGTTCAAAGGAAATACCAGTTAAAACCACACCAACTCCTGCTGTAAATGTAATTTTCTTTCTACATTGCTGGCAGGCACACCTTATGTGACCTGAAAAAAATCCAGATGGTCACTAGCTGGCAGGAAGTCTTTGCTTCCATCTAATGGCTCTCTAGTATTTGGATGGAGCTCATTGGTATGTATACTTAAACTCCATGACTTATTCTGCATTAGGAGTGTGCATCCTTGACAACTTTAAGACTTGTGGACTTCAATTGGCTGACATGACTGGCTGGGGAATTCTGGGAGTTGAAGTCCAGAAATCTTAAAGTTGACAAGGTTGGGCACCCCTGTTCTGCATTGTGAAAGATTTAATCATTATTCTCTGTGTGTGCCCACTTGGAAGCATTCTCCCTTTTTTCTAAAGAAAGACTTGAAAGAACCTGAGTGCCATGCAATTCAGGTCTGGCACAGTACCATCTATAGAACAATTATGGCTAGTGATACTTACATATTAGGGGGTAAAACAGTTATGACAGGAACCAGGATATTAAAGAGATACTTTGAATTGTAACAATGGCATAGTATTCCAAACCAAAATGCATCTGAAGTTAGAAAACTAAAAGTACATTTAACTAATTTTTTTGAACAAGCACAATTATCTAGATTTCTGGAATTTAGTTTTCTATTGAAAGCTACCTGCAAAACTATTAAATAGAGTCCCAAAGAGGTTTTTTTTCAAAGAAATAAAGGTTTATTTTAGAAAAAGAAAGTTTATATTAGAAAATCATCTCCTTTGACATTCAGTGTTGTTATAAACTGATGGTTTTATTTTCTGTTCTCAATATTTCAGCCAGTCCTGGCTTATATAGCAAGACAATGACCCCAATTTATGATCCCATTACTGGTTCACCTGTCGCTTCCACCATTGCATGGTTCAGTGACAGCCCATTGGCACAACAGAGCTGGAGCACCCTCGCTTTTAGCCATCCTAACTCTGCACCAGAGACACTTGCCAAAATGTATCAGCCTCGAACATTGGTCGACAAAGCCAAACTGAATGCTGGGTGAGGAACCTTTCTCTTTGAATATTAGCATTAGACCATTTTGATAAGCCAAGGGCAATGTTGACTGTGTGTGCTGTGTATCCATACACAAAGGGTTAATTAAGATACCTGGCACTTTTATCCAAAACTTAAGTCAAAAAAGACCCTTCCCAAGTAACATAATTTAGAATTTTCATAGAAACAAGAACCTGAAGTAAGATTTGGGACGAAAGAAAAGTAACACCTTGACATATACTGTTAGGAATAAAACAAGGCTCAAATTCCTCTTTGCACTTTTGATTGTTCATAACTGTATTTCTCTCTTCTCAAACATATTTTCAAAGCACACATATTTTCCTTTTATATACATAAAATTTGTAATTCCTAAATACGTTCATTTGCTAAAATTGAAAAACTATACAGCTACCTCTACTTTTGCTAAATGTTGTCCCGCGTTATTGAGGCTAACATTTAAGGGATTATAGGGTCATAAAAAGGGAGTTTATTGAGACTAACACTGTCATGGGCAACGTCTAGTAATAGGCAATAATAGTAATAGGCATTACAGTGTGTAGAAATATATTTCAAGTTTCCTTACTATGACTATACTTACTAAACTCTATATTTCTCACTCCCCCACACACACATATTTCTGATATCCTGTGCTTTGTTACAACTTGGAATTTTTCTTTCTGTGGAATTTATTGTCACTGCTTGGTGTTCTTTTCCTTTCAGATGGTTAGATTCATCTCGATCACTCATGGAACAAGATATCCAGGAGGACGATCAACTTCTACTCCGTTTTAAATACTATGATTTCTTTGATTTGAATGCAAAAGTAAGAAACTCTTTAAGATTCCCAACATGACAATTAAAAAGCATGTTTATTTTGTCAAATCACAGCTTATAGATCAGAGTACAGTAATACTATATCAGTTTTCTTTTAACATAAGTAAAATAACACAATAGTTTTTGTTGAATATTCTCTTTTGTTTGACTTATTTATTTGATTTAGGGATTGAGCAACTCCAAGCTGACTTGGCTCACAATATTTAAAAAAATTAATAAAACATACTGCTTTTGAAACGTTTATGGGAGAATTCTGGGAGTTGAAGTCCACAAATCTTAAAGTTGCCAAGGTTGGAGACCCCTGCTCTAGTTAACTAAAGTTACTCCATCATCATGACTGAATGCCATCAAGTTGGCAATCACGCACATTTTCTCCAGGATGATCTGTTCCCAACCTCATCCTTCAGGTCTTCCAATGGTGTGTCCTTCTTTGCTGAAACTGAGTACAAAATGTTTTAAAGGACTGTGCTGTATATCTGGAGGTAGTTAAGGCTGTTTAACTGTTGGACCTATGGCAAAGTCTGTTTATTCCTAATGCAACCTGATATTGCTTCTCTTGGCAGTATGATGCAGTACGAATTCATCAGCTATATGAGCAAGCCCGCTGGGCTATTCTGCTGGAAGAAATAGACTGCACTGAAGAAGAAACCTTCATTTTTGCTGCATTGCAGGTACGTACTTGTTACAAAACCAGTTTTTTCTGTTTGAAGCAGTCACCTGCCAGTACATGAACACCTAGGGAGCAGGGCCTTGGATTGATTGTTCCAAGTGAGACCTTTCCCCCGCCTTTCTTCAAAAAAGTGATAAACTAGTTTGCTATTTCAAATTCTGTTTACACATATGTCAATGATTAACGGAGGATGTTTGATGAGGCGGCTAATTCTTCAAATGTTGTAGAACAAAGCAAATATTGAATTGTGTTATCTCCCAAATGCAAAACATAGATACAATCCCATTTCCAAATGATGAGAAAATATCATTAATCCCCAAAGTGTGAAATGTTGAGTTTTGAGTTTGATAAGAGTCCGTCCTCAGATCAGATGTTTAAACAAAAGGACAGAAGGCCCTTTTGCGCATTTATTAACCAGGTTTAGTTGTTTTCAGATCAGTTCTTCAAATATAAACCCAAACAATAATTAAATGACTGCAATTCTCTGCATGTCTAATTGGACAACAGCCACAAGGAATTAAATGGGATTTTATACTCCAAAAGAGTTTATGGGATTATCTCCTAAAGGTACCTGCACAAACTTCATTTTCATTGAGTATGCATGGCAAAGTTCTATAGGAAAGAAATTATTTGGATGAATTGCTATAACTCACATATTTATGGAGTAGAATGACCTTGTATACTATTTGGAATATTACTTTCCTGCTCTTTATCTGTATTCCCTTTTGTTCACCATTTTTTTTCTTTTTCTTTTGTTAATTTAAATTTATATAAATTATAATTTATAACATCCATATGAAATTTGGATGTTATAAATTTCATACCATTAAAAACCCTTGCCAACCAAACCTCTGGGAATTTTTGGTAATTTAGTTTTTTGTAAATACCTTGCCACTTTATCCTCTTCTATCACATCTTTCTTGTATAGTCGTGTATAGTATTCCTGTATTATTTCCCCCATCTCTTTGTTTCCAAATCTACTTTGTCCTTGATGATCAATTAATTGCGTTATTTTCCTTGATTCTCTTTCTTTGTTCAATTTATAAGTTAACCATCTGCCAGGTTTATTTGCATTTTCAAAATAGTTCTGTTTAGCAATTCTTATTTTTTGCGCTAATTCTTCCTTCTCCAGTAGATCCATTTTGTGCTTTATAGTATTCATTTTAATTTTTACATCTTTCTTATATGGATCTTTCTGGAGTTCTTTTTCAAGTCTTTTATGATCATCTCTCAAAGCTTTAAGGGTTTGTCTTTTCTTCACATTCTTTTCCATGTATAATCAATAATTAATCCTCTAGCAAAGGCTTTCATTGTATCCCAACGGTTTTGTATCGATGTTTCTTTCTTATTCTCCTTGAAAAAAAAGTCCAATTCTCGTTTCATTTTCTGTGTAAAATCTTTCTCTTTTAATATTGTATTGTTCAATGTCCATCTAGATCTGCCTTTTCACCCTTTCCAAATAGCAATCACTGGATTGTGATCCGCCCATATATTAGTATCTATATTCACTTGTTCAATATTTAAAGTCAATTCCATTGTTGCCCATATCATGTCCAGTCTGGACCAAGATAAATGTCTGTCAGAGTAGAAAGTGTATTGTCTATTTTTCCCATTTCTCTCCCTCCAAATGTCTTTCAAGTTTATTTCCTCTGTCATTTTAAAGAAAGTCCTCGGCAATATCTTTCTACTATATCTTGTTGTTCTACTTGTTTTATAGTCCAGTTTTTCATCTACAATACCATTAAAATCCCCCATCATGCAGACATTTTCGTACTCCATTTCAATTATCTTGTTATGTAATTTCCTGTAAAAATCACTCTGGTTGTTATTAGGGCCATATATTGCTACTAAGAGTAATTTTGTATTATTATCAATTAATTCCACCATCAAAATTCTGCCTTCTGGATCAGCATATTTCTGTTCAGCCGTAAGTGTATTTCTAATGCACAGAGCAATACCTCTTTTTTTACTTTGCGCCAATGATAAAAAAGTTTTACCAAGTTTTGGTTGAATCAGTAATTGTTCGTGTTGCTTTTTAATATGCACTTCCTGTAAACAAATTATATCAAATTTTAATTTTTCTAATTTATGAAATACTGTTCTTCTTTTGTTGGCCGAATTAAGTCCATTTATATTTATTGAGATTAATTTCCTTTCATCCGTATTCATACTTTATAATTAGGTTTTGTTGCTCTAGTTGTTCTGGCTTCACGTTGCTCTTTGTATTCTATGACTCTGCCCACAGCTTCTTCTGTTTCTTCCAGCGTTATCAATTCCTCTTCCGCAGGTTTTATTGGGGCTAGCGTTGCTTGAGCTTCAACTTCCATATCAACATCCGTCTCTTTAAGAGCTTCCTCGTAGAAAGCTCTTGCCTTATCAATTGTATTCAGTCTGTATCTTTGAGAGTTCCATGTTAAGCCTACTCCCTCTGGAAACAACCATCTGTAGTTAATCCCTTTTTGCAACAAAACTTTAGTCAAGAATTGATATTTCCTTCTTATCTCTCTCACTTTCCTTGGAATTTGTCTCAAAACTGTAACTTCCTTCCCTTTGTATTCCAAAGCCTTATCACGAGCAGCCTGTAGAATCTGTGTCTTAATTGATTTCTTAGTAAATCTTATATGTACTTCTCTTGGAAGCTTATTGTGCATTGCATATCCAGTGTAAACTTGATAAATTTCATCAATTCCTTCTATCATCTTCTCTTTAGTTACTTCTAAGGCCTCAGCTAAGATTGTATTCATAATCTCAGCAAGATCCTCCCCTTTTTCTTCTGCAACATTTTGAAATCTTAAGTAGAATTCTGCTTTGTCCATTTCCCATCCAATTAAGCCAGATGTTCCTTGTTTGACCTCTCCGAGTCTATTCTCAATTTCCTTCATTTTTTCTTCTTTTTGGCCATCTTTTTCCTCCAATTTAACCAGTCTTTCTTCATATTTCATCATTGTTTGTTGTATGCTAATCACCTTTTCATCAGTTTTAAGTAACTGTTGCTCCATCCTTTGTTGTTGTTTTTCCATTCTTTGAAGTGTTTGTAAAATCATTTGTGTCGTCTCTTTCTCTTTCTCTTGCTATAACATTGTCTGAATGGAGCGTTGGCCTCCAGATGGTGATGAAGATGGTGTAGTCGCTGCAGCTCCCACCGTCGCTACTTTCTTGCTCATTTTGGAATTGGCTAAATTCACTTTGAGTTCAAGAAATATTTAAGGGGTCCCACTAAACAATGGGGCAGGAAAAAAAATAGAAAAAAACTAGGGGAAAAAGGGAAAAAGAGAAAAGAGGAAACAAATATTAAAAGGAAAAAAAATTAATCCAATTCTTCATGTTCTTCCAAAGACCCTAATCCAAAAGGAGGGAAAAAGTATATGTATGTATGTATGTATGTATGTATGTATGTATGTATGTATGTATGTATAGGAAGAGACAAAAAATTGAAATGCTCCTCCAAATAAAAAGCCAAGAAAATAAATAAATAAATAAATAAATTAACAATTAACAATTAACAATACTTCTTCAGGCTCTTGAGTGCCTTAATCCAATATTTGTATATAAATCAAGAAAAAGGGAAAAAAAGAAAAAAACAATAGCAACAAAGAGAAAAGAAAAAAAAATAGTTCTTCAAATCCTTTATGTCCAGAGCATCTACAGGGAGTGATTTTTCCTTTTGCTTCTTTCCAAGCCACACATCTCACTGGAGTTAAGATAGTTACTCAACAAAGAAGTAAAAAGAAAATAGAAAATAGAAAATAAATTCAGGGCCTTCCAGTATATTCCCAGGCTTTAACAATTTAAATAGAAGAGCACCTGTGTAAACAGCGTTCAGTAACTCTTCAGTCTCTGTATTTGTTTTGACTACAATATATCCTTTCTTCTGCAACAAAATTTCTCTTCCAGTGGGTGGCAGCACTACACACTCCCCTAATTCTCCTATCCTTATAAGGGAAGGGGGAAAACAAAGAAAAAAGAGAAAAGAAAAACTTTCTTTTAAGTAGCCCAAAAATAAAAGAAATGGTCACAGTCCAAATGCATCAACTCAAGAGATATTATAAATCAAGATCCACAAGTTCCAAAAATGTCAAGAGTGTCCCAATTCTGCTTTCCTGCTTTCAATCCAGTCCAGTTATCCAAAACGGAAATAAGACAATTAAGTAATTTCAAGTCTTTTAAAATATGTACTTGGGAAAAATAAAATCAATCCAAAATAGGTTCGCTGCTCCTCTTCATTTACTGCCCATCATAGTCCCATGCATTAATAAGGGTGTTCTTAGTAGAAAAGAAAGTAAAAGTTTCTCACCGATCTAATTACTGTCATTCCAATCTTCCTTCCTGAAGTTGCCCCAGCCTCTGCAGCCTAACGGCTGCTGCTCCGCTGCTGGAAAAAGGGCTTTCCCGGCTCAACCAGGGACTTAGCGATATCCCTGGGAGCCTCGGAACGTGCCCTCCACTACCACAGTCAAAGCAAGACTGAGTGGTCCAGTTCGGACCGTCCAGCAGTGGAGTTTCTCGGCGGAGTTTCAAGAGCCCTAGAAACCCCGCGCATCTCGCCGCAACGCCAACTTCCGGTCTTCAAAAATTGTATTTAGCCTTTGATTTCTTTTATTGCCATACAAATCTAAATAAATCTTTTTATCCTTCTGTAAAAGGTGCATCATTTTTCAAAACTACAGTAGTATGAAATAAAAGCATCGTTCTAGATTATTCATTTTTACCATCGAAATTCTTCCAATGATACTTGCAGTTTTTCCATCAATAGAAAATTCCTTCAGCTTTTCCATTAATATATCTAATCTTCCCAAGGGATTTTCACCTATTAAACCCAAATTGTCAGCAAATGCCCCTAATTTATATCCTTTTTTTTTACTCTCACCCCGATTATTCTCTCATCCTGTCTTATATCTGTCAGGTTTCGATGCTATCTCAAAATAAATGAGCTGACAATATCATTTATACAAGTGGTGAAAATTAGCAACATTGTCTTCTTTTTTGTATCTCACAGGTTTA